AGGCGCTGTGCCGCTGAGCTAAATCCCCAGCCCCCAATTTTGGTGTTTTTGAGACAGGATCTTGCTATGTAGTCCAGGCTGGCCTTAAACTCTGTATGTAGCCCAGACTACATGATTCTGCCTCAGCTTCCAGAGTCCTGGAATTATAGGTGTATACCACCACACCCAACAATCATTTGGCTTTTACTTTTAAAGATATGATTGTTCTAATAAGAACTTAATGAAGGCTATCGAGGCCCTTCATAAGAAAAATCAACTGCTTGGGAATTTGGAGGATTGTCTTTCCGTGCTGTGACGTTAGGCTTGATACTTAACTCTTTCTGCAGCTCAGCATCCTCTGAAAGTGAGACTGATGTTAGAAAGGGGGACCTGTTGTTTACAATGTGTGTACACAGAAGCATGCACACTGATGCTCACATCAACGGTCCTCACATCAATGCCGGGAGGAAGGCACTACCATCTCCCTTCTGCTCGGGGGTGAGCGACAGGCTCAGGGTTACACAGCGAGTAGGGTGGATGGGACTTGAGCCAGAGCACCCAACTCCCAGGCCCATGCCTGGCCTTGGGCTTCTCGTTAAATCCAATAGGGCTTTGGAGCACCTGCAGCCTGCCTGGTGGCCCAGATGTCCCCAGTGCCCATGCAAGATGGCAGTGGCCAGGGACACTAACCATGTGACCACGCTGAGGAATCACACTGGGAGGTGTCTCTGCTTGGCGCCCAGGGCTGAACATGAGCCTCTGCAAGGGCTGGGGCAGCCTGGGTCACAGCTTTGGGTGATGGAAGGCTTTTCTGGAGCTTTGGAGAGAAAGGATGCCCTGGAGCACGTGGGGGTCACTGTTGTTAGACAGGACTCAGCCTCCCTGTCTCCTGCCCCTGCCCATGGCTGGGTTCAGGGGAGACACACCTGTGAACGTCCCAGAGGGGTGGTCCACCGGCACACAGAGCTATTGTTTTGTTCCTCTCTGCAGACCTCAGGAAGCTCAAACAACACGCTTGCCCAATCCATGCTACAGCTGGGTGCCCTTGCAAAGCCAACACACACAGGGGCTCTGTCCCTGTCTTTCCAAGAGCCTGCCACTCTCCTGGCTCCCAGACCTGCCCTGTGCGGGCTGGCCAGCCCCCGAGACAGGAGGCCCCTTGTGGGCTGTTATAGTTTGTGTCTGTGTGTCCCCCCAAAGCCTCATGCGGTCACGGGGCAGGCTTTTAGAGCTTGATTGATTATGGGTGTGAGAGCCACACCTGCCCTGGGGTGGATAGTTTGCATATGTAAGGGAGAGGAAGAGGCTGCTTGCAGCCATTCCTCCCTTCTAGTCGTTGTTTGCTTTTGCTGTGTTCTGCCGCCATGAGCTGTAGCCCTCTGCCATGTGCCACTCTGCCTTGTAACCTGAGAAGTATGGACTAAAACCTCCACAAACTGTAAGTGAAATAAACCTTTCCTTCCTTAATTTTGGGCATCAGATATTTTGTCCTAGCAACGAGAGAAAAGTAACCAAGACATGGGCTGTGGGCAGGGCTGGGGAGGGGAAAAGGCGCAGACACAGACATACAGACCTTCCAGCGGTGCCCGCACTCGTTGCATAAGACAAAGGTAGTCATGGGCTCATCAGCACTGCGTGTCTGCATCTGAGAGGAAAAAGAACCACTTGTGAAGTTTCTCTCCTGCTCCAGGACCTGCCACGGCTCCCTCTGTCTTTAGGAGTGGGTCCAAATCCCAGAGGTGCACACTGATGTTGCTGCCTCCCTTCAGCAATTCCCTTATCATTCACAACGTCCTGATGCATATCCTCCTCCCCATCACAGCCCGTCAGTTCACTCCAGCACCGTGGCTCAGCCTGGCCTCTGTCCTCTGCACTTGTGGTCTTTTAAAAATTTTATTTATTTATTTTTTGAAACAGGGTCTCACTTTGTCATTGAGGCTAGTCTTGAACTCACTATGTATCCCAGACCTGGAACTAGAAGCTATCCTCCTGCCTCAGCCTCTCAAGTGCAGGGATTACAGGTGTGCGCCACCACCCCCGACTGCACTTGTAGTCTTGTGAATGGTTCTAAACCATCTCTCTCCTCTTGCCTCAAAACTCTTCTTCCACAGGAAACATTCCCTGACTCAGCCCCGCATGGGCTGTACCGGACATGCCCACTAGTCACAGTTGAGGGAGCTCCGGGCACCCTTAGAAATCACCTAATTCACCTTCCTTATTATACTGGTGGAAGGACTGAGGGCTACAAAGCAAAAGGGATTTGAAGATCCTTGGAACAATTTATGTCCTTTTTAAATTTCCTTTGTAGTCCTGCAGATTGAACGCAGGGTCTTCACACCCTGGGTGTGAGCTACACCCCCATTCCTTTTTATTTTTTCAGACTGGGTCTCATGAAGAGGCCCAGGCAGAACTTGAACTTGTAATCCTCCTGCTTCAGCCTCCCAAGTGCTGGGATTAGAGGGATGTCTTCTGGTTTCTTACTCCCTCAACCTTATCATTCAGGTGCAAGAACCAGGTTTCCCACTGCCAAGCCCTGGCACTTCCAGACTGAACAGATGCTGCTTTGATTCTCTGAGGCCGGCCCTGGTTGACATTTGGCTCTGCATGACGTCAGCTGTGACTCCGCAGTGTGGGAAGGGCCTGGGCCACTGAGCCCTTGTGGCAGTCAGCCAGGAGAACACAATGTGACACAGCCTTGTCGCTGGCCAGCAGTGACACCTGAGAAAGAGTGATGGTGGGGTTTCCCCAGGGAGGGGCACTTTGGCCAGAGGGCAGTGTATTTCTGCTGAGGTGACCCATGGGAAGCCCATGGCTCCACATGGACGCGTGCTTGGGAGGGAGCAGGCGTCTGCAGACACCTCTGAATTCCTGCATGGGAGCGCCCCAAGGGAGCCTCTGCGAATGGCAAGGCTGGCTGCATTTCTGCTGTGGCCGTAGGGCACCAAGACAATAGCTCTTGGTCAATCTTGCTTACTGGGCGGAGAGGAGTGAATAGAGTTTGAGAACAACTAGGCGCCAGCTATAACCCAAGAACATGGTACTCCAAGGCCATGACATATGTGATCTAGAAACAGAAGTCCATCCTCTGACTTTAGGGAGCGGGCCCTCCTCACCTCCCAGGGCTCCCCGTGCAGGATGACTGTCTGCTCCCTTAGGATGCAGGGCTACAGCTCTTGGGCTTTGCTGACCAATTGTGGGCAGAAAGGTTCAGATCCAGGTCTGTTATTCTCCCTGGCTTTTGCCTTCTTTGCCGCCTTGGGCAAACCTGCAGAGCCAACCTGTCTGTCTGGGCCTCAGTTTCCCTGTGTGTACGATGAGGGAGCTGGGTTTCACATTGCTAAGTTCCCTTCCAACCATCAGTGACCCCACTGAGGTCCGGGGCCTCCTACTCTCACTTCAAGACAGGCTGAACATATGGCCCAGTCCCACAGCCCCAAAGCTGGCCGATTCTACACTCCAGCTGTATTCTAGAGGCCCTGGGGCACCATGGTGGTATTCCATACCCTGCCCTCTGTAGCCTGGAGCACGTCAGTCCCTTCCGCACCGGGCCTTCTCCATGCTTCCCTCTGCCTGTCCCCTCCGTGGCCTGTGGCCGTCCCTACCTGGTTGTAGGTACAATTCTTCTTCTTGCACTTGCTGCACTGGAGGAGGTCGGTGGTGGTGCCACCCGTCTTGGCCATCTGGTGCTCGCGGATGGCCTCCTGGGTCATGGCATTCCTCAACTCCCTCAGCTCGTCACTGGCCATTTCCTAGAGAGACAGCAGCCTGTCTTTCAGGCCTTGGGGCCCCAGGGACTCTATCCCAGCCCAGCTTCTAAAGACCCTGAATGGAGGAGGGAGGAGTATGACAGGCTGAGTAAGAGCTGCTGGAGGGAGGCCTGGGCTCCTTGCCCTACCCGGGCTCTGAAAGCTGTCCTCAGAGAGTCCCCATCCTGCCCTCGGAGGGCTCGGGCTGCACCATGGTCAGCTGGGCACAAACAAAGAGCAGTTGGGGATTAGCGCTCTGTGTCATTTCTCCAGACCCATCGCTCACCCTGCCGGCCAGGGCTGAGGCCTGCACCGAACCTTCCCACGTGAGCTGACTGAAGCACTGCCCACCTGATGTACATGTCCCTCTGTTCTTCCGATCTGCACCGGACCCCGTGCCTATTTCAGCTGTGCCCACACGCAGCCCACCGGTCTCATGACAACCTCAGCTCAACTGCCCAAGACTTGTTGCTGCCACCCTCTCCCCAGTAGGTCCCTGAAGCTCCGGAGCTCGCAGGACTAAGAGCTCACTGCGGACACGCATCACAAAACATTCTTATTTGGGACTTTCCCCAGAACCAACCTCTGGCTCCTCCTGCAGACCCGCAGTGCCTGCATTATCCAGGCCCTCTCCTTGTCTCCTTCCTGGCCACTGGACTCCCCTTAAGGGAGGACAGGGGAAACGCAACCTGGAGAGAGCTTCAGTAAAGATAGATACGGGGGAGTGTGGCTGAACTCCTGAATGTGGGAGGTGAGGACTTGGAACCGGGCACAGCGGCACAAGCCTGTAACCCCCACTACTTGGGAAGCTGAGGCAGGAAGATTACATATTTGATTTTTTTTTCCGGTACCGGGAATCAAACTCACAACCTTGTGTTTGCCAGGCAGGCGCTGTGCCGCTGAGCTAAATCCCCAGCCCCAAGATTACGTATTTGAGCAATTTAGCAAGACCCTGTCTCAAAATAAAACAAATGCTGGTGTGCACCAATAATCCCAGCCCTCTGGAAGGCTGGAGGATCATGAAATTGAACTCAGTGCAGGCAAATTAGTGAGACTCTATCTGAAAAATTAAAAAGGGCTAGGGATGCAGCTCAGCGGTACCCAGTGGTACTGGCTAACCATTTTAATTGTTGCTGTCTATCCTGAGTCCCTTAAACCATAGAGAACAGAACAGGCATAAAGGTCTAACTACTTTGGTGTGCTGACCCTGCGTTATACCCAGTTAGGCTTCTAATAAAGTGCAAGTTCCAGTGAGTCTGAAATGCCAAAGGCAGGCCTAGGAAGGTGTGTTTTCACCAGCACCCTAGTCATTCTGGTGCACTAATCCTTATGTGGATGGTGTGCTAAATTCACAGCCCGGGGACTAACTCTTGGCAGGCATATGGAGAAAACTAAGTCAACCTTGGCCTGAAGAGGTTTTTAAAAAAGCAATGGACTTTAATTTGAGGTACAGTGCATTTGTTCTTTTTTTTCTTTTTCTTTTTGTCTTTTTGAGACAGGGTCTTGCTATGCAGTTCAGGATGGGCTTGAGCTCACTTTGTAGCCCAGGCTGGTTTTGAACTCACAGCAATCCTCCTGCGCCAGCCTCTCAAGTGCTGAGATTACAGGTGTGCACCACCATGAGTGGTCATTCAAAATTTTGAGGATGCCAATTTACCAAATGCCTTTAATTGCACGCGTGTAGGGGAAAGGGCACGCAGCTATCTGGGTGCCCAATTAATTGTCAGTTTACCTGACACAAGTATTCCCACCATGGCTGGTTTTAAGTTACTTTTTTTTTTTTTTTTGTCTTTTTGAGACAGGGTTTCACTGTGCAGTTCAGGCTGGCCTTGAGCTCACTTTGTAGCCCAGGCTGGTCTCGAACTTGCAACAATCCTCCTGCCTCAACTTCCCCAGTGCTGGGATTACAGGTGTGAGCCACCACGCCCACCACGCCCAGTTAAGTTACTAAAGTGATACAGCTGAGTGCAGAGTGTGAACAGCTACACAGGATCAGCTCATCAGAGCTGGGAGGGGCTGGCTCCAGCAAGTACAGCCGGACAGCTCTAGGCAGAATGGCTGGGCTCCTGCCCGCTTCAGGAGAGGGGAGAAAGTGCTTAGGCACAGGTGACCAAGGTGCCCAGGGAACTGTGGCCTTCCCTCTGGTAGGACTGGGTCAGAAAGATGCTGTCATGTTAGCCAGCCTCCAAAGACAGGAGTTCTCAAGGGGGTGGCACATTCCAGAAAAACAGAAGCAGCAGACACAAAAATTCAGAGGACAAGAATAGCACACATGGCGGAAGGTACTTGGGGTGGGTTCAAGTTGAGGAGTGTGCGGGGACATGGTTGGAGGCCAGATTGCAGAAGGAGGGTGTTGTGCGCCAGCTAAGAGTAGAGAACAGAAACATCTACCCACACACCCATCCATCTGCAGACCCATCTCTGGCCTATTTCAGGAAGCTGCATCAAAGACACCGCATTACTGAAGGTGGAGCTCGGGGGCAGAGCACTAGTCTAGCATGCACAAGGCCCTGGGTTCCAACCCCAGCATCACAAGATGATGACAGATGAAAATCCCCATGGAGCCAGGTGTGGTGGTGCATATCTGTAATCCCAGTACTGAGGAGCCTGAGGCAGGAGGATCACTGTGAGTTTGTGATGGAGACCACTATGAAGAAGCTCTGAGCAGGATTTAATATTAACCAGTTGGCTTTCCTTGTTTACTTGTGAGTCACTGGTCCCTACTAAGGGCTGTAATGGTGAGTGAAGCCATGAGGCCTCAAAGGACAAGATAAGGCCACAGCTGAGGACTTTTGGCTCCAACCCCAATTAACTAAAAGGAAACTGTAGCTGCAGGCATCTCACTTCCGCAGTGAAGGCCTTCCTGGAGATAACAAAGTTCTCCTAAATTAACATAACATTTACCTGGAGAGGTCCATAAAGGGTTTCCCAAGTCCTGCCCAGACTCCTGCATTTTCTTTAGTATCCCCCTCCTTTGTTTGAAAACCTAATAAATAGGGCTGCCCAGAGAAGTTGCAGTCTTAACTCAGAGAATCTTGAATTAATAATAGAGTTGGACCCTCCCGGAGCCCTGAAATTATTTCAATTGTCTCATTTATTTAAGCCTTCACCATCCACTCATTTGGGAGATTGTGGACCTGATCAGCCCGCAATAACTAAGGGAGTTATTAACCCAGTAAATTCAAGGCCAGCCTGAATTACATAGCAAGACCCTGTCTCTTTTTTGTTTGTTTTGTTTTTCTTCTGGTACCAGGAATCAAACTCACGACCTTGCGCTTGCCAGGCAGGTGCTGTGCCACTGAGCTAAATAAATTCCCAGTCCCAAGACCCTGTCTCAGAAAAAAAGAAAATCCACATAGAGCATGAACATTACTGGAGAAAATAAGGTGAAGACTGAGGAAGGTAAGAAATGTGCAGATGATTCCTCACACCAGATAGGCTGTTAGAAAAGGGCCCCAGCTGTGGATTCGATAAACATTTGCTGAGCACTTGTGATGTGCCAGCCACTCTCTTCAAGGGGGTGAGTGGTGAACAGAGAAGACCTCTCATCTAGGGGCTGACAGGACAGTATATTCATGCCACAGCACTGTGGGACATCTCAGTGCCTGCTCCATCCTTTCACTTGTCTGGGTTGGGAGGAAAAGAGATGTCAGTGAATGAGGGAATCAGGGATCAAATAAGGAAATCAAGCAAGGAAAGAGACATAAAAAGGGAGTTCATGGAGGGGTGCACCGGCCCTCAAACCAGCCACCACCACACAATTGAGAACTATCATGGCACAGAGAAGCAGTGACACAATTGGCCCACCATGCGCCAGCTGTGGAGGCCCGCCTGCGGACGTGTGTGAATCATTCCGACATGGAGAAACCCCTGGGAATACATACCACACAACGGGTCACTCTTGCCCTGCCATTGAGAACCAGAAAGGTCCAGAGTCAGCAGAGGAGCAGCTGCTGAACAAGGACTCGGAGAACACGAGAATACAGACTAAGCCCGAGGAGTCAGAGGTCTCATTGACTGGGGTCACGAGAGCAGTTCAGAAGCTGTAAACCAGGAGGACCTTGCGCAATACCTGAGGAGAACCCCTGGAAGACATTCTTCCCCTCACAGTACAGGCTGTGGTGGAGGAGCATGTGGAGCTCTGGAGAGGTCTGCACCAAGATTCCTGCTGCCTGTGCTGACAGTTGGGGAGAAGAAACTTGAGTGGTTGTGTGGTCCCAATGCAATGGGAGGCTGGAGAGAAAAAGCTA